CATATCTCACACCATCAGCCGTAGTTGAAACTTCTTCTACAAGAATTTGACACTACGTTCCGATAGGGATGGGGTGGGGAAGAAATTGCAACCACGACTTACGGGGCTCGAGATGGGGAAGAAGTTGTAACTATGGCGGTCAGTTTTCATCCTTAGTCCCGTTATATATCCACTTCTACATGTATATCTATCATATAATCTACCCATTCGCAAAATATATTTTTTACATCAGAGTGATACACCTACGTGAACAAATATATTATATATAATAATAATAACATGTTATTAAGACCAGCTGACAGATAAATCAAAAATGGAATTTTAAAATTGATAATGTACAACAGAAAACAGTTTCCTTAACGTTTATTTAAAAGTGAAATGGCAATAACCTCTTTTCCTGTAGCTTTGTGCGAGCTTGTTTAACGGCGATTGCATACCTTTGCATGTGTTTGTGACGGATGCCACCTGTTAGGCAGGATAGGTTCACTTTTTGTGAACACCTGGTGTCATCACTATTTGTTAGTGATTCATAAACACATATTTTTTATCTAGTCGAAATCGTAAAATGGACTCTGTTTTTAGCAGAGATTGCTTGTGACTAATTTGTTTCGTTTGTATTTATCTAAACATCATGATAGTTATATCACCACTTGTTGTCTTGATGTGTTACGTAAGCCCTACGTGGAGCAGGTTTACACGTTAACCACATTGGTGAAACACACTAGCATAGGCTTCTGATGACAAACTAGAAACATTATCAGAACCTACGGCCATTGAATTCTGGCTCTCCTAAGGGGCGCAACTCTGCACAGCAAATTGCGGCACCTTAGCCGACTGGACCACCATTGCCCACTTTTGCCTCACATTGCATCACTTATAAAGAAGCTATTGTGGCTACCATATGTTTTTTATCAATGGTTCAAATACTTTGAGTTCGTAATATGTTGAGAAAGGTAATGTTTTTGTTGCCATGTTTGGACAGCTAAGTCTCGACAGGAAACTGATTTTCTTATCAAGATACTGCTTGAATTGAATTTCTATTCAATGTCAATTCTTACATTCAAATTATATTTATTTTGTCAATGTCAATCGAAAAATCGAAAATAATCCTCCTTGTAAAACTGGTAGCTTAAATATTATACGTTCTGTCTGTGATATTGCTGACTTCTTGTGTCGCGATATAAACGTTTCAATACATATGTGGTGTGCCACAACTTGTAACAATATCTGTGTTTGTGTTTGGCATGTAAATCACTACCCCTATCACCCTGACTACCACGACATACCTCGGTCATTCCACGGTTGTCTGTATCCAACATACATTGACCTCCAAGCCACGGCCACTGACCAGTGGGTTTACACGCCATTATTAGCCCGCAGGGTGTTATCAGGGCTGGCCCACCGAATTCCTCTGCTTGCTTGGTGTCAAACACCGAGAGGGTATCTCTGACTGTGATAACGTGATAGCCATACAATTAAATAATTCCTAAATATTTTGCCCGGAGAACGGACAAACACAAAACTGATTGAAATTATCAACTTTCACTTTAACACATGCATTGTGTAAGTCAGATGAGTCAGATGTGGGACATAATGGTAACCTGGTGGTAACAAGCTATACGATGTATTAAACAATGGTAACAAGGTGTCTAATCTGTGGCACAATGGTAACGATGTGTCTGATGTGTGGAACAATGGTAACGATGTGTCTGAAGTCTGGTACAATGGTAATAATGTGTCTGATGTGTGTAACAATGGTAACAATGTGTCTGATGTGTGAAACAATGGTAACAATGTGTCGTATATGTGGAACAATGGTAACGATGCGTCGTATATGTGGAACAATGGTAACACTGTGTCTGATGTGTGGAACAATGGTAACAATGTGTCTGATGTGTGAAACAATGGTAACAATGTGTCTGATGTGTGTAACAATGGTAACAATGTGTCTGATGTGTGTAACAATGGTAACAATGTGTCTGATGTGTGTAACAATGGTAAAAAGGTGTCTGATGTGTGGAACAATGGTAACAAGGTGTCTAATGTGTGGAACAATGGTAAAAAGGTGTCTGATGTGTGGAACAATGGTAACAAGGTGTCTGATGTGTGTAACAATGGTAACAATGTGTCTGATGTGTGAAACAATGGTAACAATGTGTCGTATATGTGGAACAATGGTAACGATGCGTCGTATATGTGGAACAATGGTAACACTGTGTCTGATGTGTGGAACAATGGTAACAATGTGTCTGATGTGTGAAACAATGGTAACAATGTGTCTGATGTGTGTAACAATGGTAACAATGTGTCTGATGTGTGTAACAATGGTAACAATGTGTCTGATGTGTGTAACAATGGTAACAAGGTGTCTAATGTGTGGAACAATGGTAACAAGGTGTCTGATGTGTGGAACAATGGTAACAAGGTGTCTGATGTGTGTAACAATGGTAACAAGGTGTCTGATGTGTGGAACAATGGTAACAAGGTGTCTGATGTGTGGAACAATGGTAACAAGGTGTCTGATGTGTGGAACAATGGTAACAAGGTGTCTGATGTGTGGAACAATGATTAAATATGTCTGATGTTGGAACATTGGTAACACTGTGTCTGATGTGTGGAACAATGGTAACAAGGTGTCTGATGTGTGTAACAATGGTAACAATGTGTCTGATGTGTGAAACAATGGTAACAATGTGTCTGATGTGTGTAACAATGGTAAAAAGGTGTCTGATGTGTGGAACAATGGTAACAAGGTGTCTGATGTGTGGAACAATGGTAACAAGGTGTCTGATGTGTGTAACAATGGTAACAAGGTGTCTGATGTGTGGAACAATGGTAACAAGGTGTCTGATGTGTGGAACAATGGTAACAAGGTGTCTGATGTGTGGAACAATGATTAAATATGTCTGATGTTGGAACAATGGTAACAATGTGTCTGATGTGTGTAACAATGGTAACACTGTGTCTGATGTGTATAACAATAGTAACAATGTGTCTGATATGTGAAGCAATAGTAGCGATGTGTCTGATATGTGGAATAATGAAAACAACGTGTCTGCTGGGTGTAACAATGGTAACGGTGTGTCTAATGTATGGAATAATGGTAACGATGTGTCTAATGTGTGGAACAATGATTGAAACAATGTGTCTGGCGTGAGGAACGATGGTACCAATGTGTCTGATGTGTGGAACAATGATTACAATACATGTATGTCTGGTTATGTGGCACAATGGTAACAATGTGTCGTATATGTGGAACAATTGTAACAATGCGTCGTATATGTGGAACAATGGTAACGATGTGTCTGATGTGTGGAACAATGGTAACAATGTGTCGTATATGTGGAACAATGGTAACGATGCGTCGTATATGTGGAACAATGGTAACACTGTGTCTGATGTGTGGAGCAATGGTAACAATGTGTCGTATATGTGGAACAATGGTAATGATGTGTCTGATATATGGAACAATGGTAACAATGTGTCTGATGTGTGGAACAATGGTAACAATGTGTCGTATATGTGTAACAATGGTAACGATGTGTCGTATATGTGTAACAATGGTAACAATGTGTCTGATGTGTGGAACAATGGTAACAATGTGTCGTATATGTGTAACAATGGAAACGATGTGTCTGATGTGTGTAGCAATGGTTACAATGTGTCTAAAGTGTGTAACAATGGTAACAATTTGTCTGGTGTGTGTAACAAAGGTAACAATGTGTCTGATGTGTGTAACAATGTTTACAATATGTCTGATGTGTGGAACAATGGTAACAATGTGTCGTATATGTGGAACAATGGTAACGATGCGTCGTATATGTGGAACAATGGTAACACTGTGTCTGATGTGTGGAGCAATGGTAACAATGTGTCGTATATGTGGAACAATGGTAATGATGTGTCTGATATATGGAACAATGGTAACAATGTGTCTGATGTGTGGAACAATGGTAACAATGTGTCGTATATGTGTAACAATGGTAACGATGTGTCTGATATGTGGAACAATGGTAACAATGTGTCGTATATGTGTAACAATGGTAACAATGTGTCTGATGTGTGGAACAATGGTAACAATGTGTCGTATATGTGTAACAATGGAAACGATGTGTCTGATGTGTGTAGCAATGGTTACAATGTGTCTAAAGTGTGTAACAATGGTAACAATTTGTCTGGTGTGTGTAACAAAGGTAACAATGTGTCTGATGTGTGTAACAATGTTTACAATATGTCTGATGTGTGTAACAATGGTAACAGTGTGTCTGATGTATGTAACAATGTTTACAATATGTCTGATGTGTGTAACATTTGTAACAATGTCGAAAGTGTGTAACAAGAGTAACAATATGTCTGATGTGTGTAACAATGGCAACAGTGTGTCTGATGTATGTAACAATGTTTACAATATGTCTGATGTGTGTAACATTTGTAACAATGTCGAAAGTGTGTAACAAGAGTAACAATGTGTCTGATGTCTGAAACAATTGTAACAATGTGTCTGATGTGTGCAACAATGGTAACAATGTGTCTGATGTGTGTAACAATGGTAACAATGTGTCTGAAGTGTGTGTTTTTTACGCTACATGCAACATCATACCGGCTACTTCACTGTGATCAGTAAATAATCGAATCTTGACCTGACAAACCAGTGGTTGATATGATGAGCATCATCGGCATACAATGACATGCAATCAACAATTCACCAAGCCTGACCAAGATATCCCAATTTATTTGTTTGTTTGTTTGTTTGTTTGTTTGTTTGTTTGTTTGTTTGGGGAAAAAAACATTTGAAAGAGGAATTCGTATGTGTAATGACAACTGCATCAAACCATGCTAACTACACATTACAATCAGATGTGGACCTGTGTTGATGGAGTTAGTACTTACATAGTAACTTGGCCAACATACGAGTTTGGCAATAGTGGACCAAAGCTTGGTGCGCTGATATCACGAGTGACAACAATACTATCTGGAACATCAAGCCACGCTGCGATTGGCCAGCCCTATCGGAAGCACAAGCCCAACGTGAACTTTAAACACACTTGAATCTGTAAGGTAGCGCGTTGGATATCTCCTTCTAGAGAACGACCATGCCTTATAGTTTCATCTTCCTGGTAAGTGATTATCTATTTGGACAAAGTATCTTAATTATAGCAGATTTTAATCCCAATACAAAATTAAGAAGTTGAACGTTTTATAACGCTTAAATGTGACTCTAAGGTGACCATTACCATTAATTACCGTTATTTTTGTCTTATTTTTAAACGGAATTGGTGTTCTAAACTCATAATAACATTTTTGTTATGTCCAAACGTTTTATTGACGAACTTTTTCTATTGTGTAATCTGGTCGAGAGTCAAGGGTCGACTTCCTTTGTGAATGAACCAGATGTATATAGATGTCTCCTGTCATTCGGGTCCGTATAAACGTAGTTCCCCCGATTGACTTATGATTAACCAATGAGTAAGTTTTAACAAAACCCTTCAACTGTTTTGAGGGAAGATTTTGGCTTGTATTTCTCGGGCATACGGACTCCGCATGGTGGTTATTGACTCCTTGTATGTTAAACCACACCACAGTGTGTTTCATTCCCAGCTAAACCCACCACTTATTTGTGATACTTTAACTTTCCGACCATATACCTTCGGTATTATATTATTCCGGTAAACCATTTCAAGATTAAAAGCTGCGTTAAAGTGAAATTTCTCTGTTTGAATGATTGAAGTTGTTTTTCAAACTACTGAAGAATCAAAGAGAAAATCCTGTACGAATATTATATACGTAAACAACGACATTTAACTGAAATGATGTGAAATAAATTCCACAGTTCGGAAATTGTAAGATACTGAAGTAAGACAAGTTCTATGGATGAACAACTTCTTTATTACAATTTGTGCGACGTTTCGGTGTATATCCTAACACCTTTATCAAGGAAGGTGTTAGGATCTACACCGAAACGTCGCACAAATTGTTATAAAGAAATTGTTCATCCATAGAACTTGTCTTACTTCATCACACCAACTTCTAAATGCCACTTAAAGAAGTTATTGTAAGATACTGATGAAACTTATGTGAAATAATTATTGAAATCAGTGGTGATACAAAGTGCTACCGTAGAATGGTACGCACGTCGTGGTGTACCGGTAGCCAATGAGGAAATGTGAAAACTCACAGAAAAGGGTCATAGCATGGAATAGTATCGCGCATGTTGACAACAACGTGCCATACTTAGTACTCGAGGGGAACTTCGAGAATGGAAAATCAGGTAGTGTAAATGGGTTGTATTTCTATGCTCCTTTGAACAGTATTTTATCTATATCATGACGTACCACTACTGCCTGGAAGTTCATTCCCCTTACACGCATGGGCAACGCGTTACGCAACCCGTGTGCACCCCGTTCGTCACTAGTGTGGAGCGCGTGACACACTCATTACATTACAGGGGGAACACACTTTTGACCAAGGGAGGACCCATGTTTAGCTGAACCTGGAGGTGGTAACAAGGAGATAACCTTTTGATTTCCTGACGTAAAATGTTAATACACATTTTATTTTATGTACTTGCTGATGTCTCATTTTTAGATGTGATTTTGTTGGAAAATATGAGTACCGTTGTGGCTTCTACATGATGTTTTGCGATAGTGTTAAGAGAATACATGATCCTGTTAAATGTTATTGCTATTCAAATGTTTTTTAGTGATTTGACATTAAACGTCTGTAGTACGACTTCCAGTGATCATGTCTATGAGGTTTGGTGGATATTGCTTTTATTGGACCCTAATTACTTTATGATGGTTGGGTATCTTTGTCTCAGCTCCATAGCCGTGACGCTGGGAAAGGGCAGCATTTGATTAATGAGAGTAGGTTATATCATGGAGGATACATTTGAGGGAGGGAGTTCTACTAATTACCGTACCACAGGAAAAGACCTGTAGACGTGAGAGCGCGGGGTTGTGTGTAAGATGGCCGTTGCATAATGGCCGCCAGGAGTGGTAAACATTGAGCTGAAGTAGCGTTGTTTTCACGGGCTTGTTGAATAAATTCCCAGCGCTGCTGTCCATGTATCTTCTACTTGATCCTAGATACATCATTCTGGCATTTACAATATATATTTTTCAACGTACATTAATGGTTTACTAGTCATATCTTTTGGAGTATTTGTCAATTGTGTTGAGCTTACAAGCAATAATTGTAATTTGTGGTGACATATAAATATAAAACGTCTCATTTAAAACATGAAGTAAGTACGATAGTAAATAATAAAATTCAAATCGCATTAAAATACAATGATAACAAGATTCATTTGTAACCCCGAAGCATGTGTTCCACATCCATAGCCAGGAGGAAAGCTCCTGATTAAACAAAATGAAGAAGCTTGCCTTACATATATGTAGAGACATCATCTGAATGTGACTATATATGCAAATGTTACGATACTGTACCTATCTTCACGAATTATTTAAAAATGGGCATAAAGTTCACGGAGACGAAGGCTATAGATACAATACTATATTTGATTTTTTAGATGATAAAGTACATCATTTGATAATAAATTCAGTTATTGATATCTAAAAACCGATTTGCCATATTAATAAACATTTCATGATAAAACAAAATCAAATGTGTGATATAAATTCATTCTTTAGTATCCATAAATGAATTATTGATATCATATAACGAATAAATAGTAAAAAAGCGCCCTATACATTGTTCTTTGTGGATTGTATTAAGTAATCCGATTGCATCACGGTTATAGTGTTAATTGCTCGTCTTTTTTCTGCACCATCATTTCTTTCATTTAAAAAATGGCAACTTATAATTAACCAAGGTAATAATACTTACCCAACCTGCGTTTATTTACCTATCTGTCATTATTATCGTTAACATGTGTCTACTTTTAAGTGTATATACTTATGCCATACATCGTACTGATTAAGGAATGACACATCATCGTGAGATATATGTACTCCATACACATGCAGCACAACGGGACTTTGATTCTATAGCACAGAAAATCGTTACCCCGAGTTACTGTGTAACAGTTCCCCCCTTGTTTTCATACGTGTCATTCAGTCAAATAAGTCAGGTGTGACAGTTATCACAATCTCACCGGTTATAAAGATTTGATAAATGCCGACTGACACTCTTGATGGGTCAGTGATTAAGACAACAGATCAATACACACGCTTCCTATTCAGTATGCACGTATGATTACATGGCCGTGTGTATGCATGGTATGTATGACTGTGTGTATGATTAAATGTATGTAAATTATGTATGTGTATGTATGTGTGTGCGTGCGTATGTGTAAATGTATGTAAGCCTAGATTACATAATAAATGCTTCGGTCGTTTGAAGCCAGAAGGCAGAGGTATTCCCGGGAAAGAAGCCTAGTCTCGCAGTTGGTCACTAGTGCTGAAACTACTCGCGGATTTGTTTTTGAATAAGGCGAATGGAGCAGAGTAAGCTTAGAGATTATCGGCTGTTGTGTAAAAACAATGCTTCAGAAAGATCGACGTCCTGTCCCTATGAACAAACCTACAGATTAGGGGTTGAACGTCAAAAGTGTCTGTCAGGTTTCTTAATGCTACTAAAGGCAACTATATGCCGATATTAAAATTTCGTACCTCAAATCACGATTTGCCCGTTGAGACTGGCCGATGGCAGAATATACCAAGAGAAGATAGACTTTGTCAACTTTGTGATTCACTCTCGGTTGGAGATGAGTTTCACTATCTCTTCAGATGCGAAGCTCTACTCCAACAAAGAATTCGATATATTCCCAAAAAATACTACTTGTGGCCAAATATTTTTAAACTCTGTAAAACTGTTTCACCCAAAAGGCTAAAAGATATAAGAAATTTGTCCAGATATATTGTATGTCTATGTAAGTTATTAAGAAAGAACCGTTGACCCTGTCACTTGTCATGTTGATATCTTTTTGTAATTTCATATGTATATACATATATATAGGTGTAAACGCTCATGTACCACCGGTGGTGGTTTCTTTGAGAAATAAACTGAACCTGAATCTGAATCTGAATCTGAATCTGCTTAATTACTTTTGCTGGAGAATGTGTTTCTTGGACACGCGCTATAAAACATGTTAACATAAAAATATATGAATGTTGAAGCTGGGCTTCACTTCAGTTTTCCAGTTTTTAGCAAGCCCCTCATACTGAAAAACAGCCTAACTGTTCATATTACTATGTCCTGCTATGCTTTACATCTAACAAAGCTATACATTACTAATATATTAGGCCTTAATTTTACCTATATTTAAAACTTTCTCTCTCTGTAACAAAATTCATATGTTCTTGTATTATATTTGATATATCTGTATTTACATATATACATCATTTATAATATTTATTGTCAACATATATACCTATAAATCTTTACTATACTCAATAATGTATTGTCAGCACCCTAACGTAGAATGAAAGCCCGACGCGATTCTGGTCTTTGACGTTTACCACTTTGGTGAACCCGCCGAACACGGGTATGGTGCTAACAAACCAATGAACACAAATAGGGCGAATCTGGGATTCGAACCCACGATCATGAGATCAAGGCATGACAAAAGGAACCACATTGCATCAGACGACAGGGTTATCAAGGAAGGACTATCCTGAAGACAATTCAAGTCACGTGTTCCAAGACAACTTCAAACTCTGACAGAGAAGAAGACTATCCAAGGATGATGTCCCATGACATTTTCACTCTCAGACGGAGATGAAAAGCAAACCAAGACCCATGTTTAAATATAAAGACCATGAAAATACAACAGGGTATTACAGACTGGTTCTACGCCGAACCGCACCGCACCGCACCGCACCCTCACCTCACCACACCTCACCTCACCACACCTCACCTCACATAATTTATTTATTTTTATTTTATTTTATTTTACTGGAATGCTGAATCCAACTCACTCACTCACTCACTCACTCACTCACTCACTCACTCACTCACTCACTCACTCACTCACTCGGCCCGTGAAGACGCCGGGATAGAATAGGTCTCATACTTGCCGTAAAAGGTGACTATGCTTGTTGTAAAAGGCGACTAACGGGATCGGGTGGTCAGACCTGCAGACTTGGTTAATGCATGT